GTGTTTTGATCCATCAGCTGATTCCCATTTTCGTTTCAGCAAATCCCCTTCCAAATACAATGAGTCCCACTGAGCCCAATAACCCTTTAACACGGCACTATATTCTGAGATGCTTTGCCAGTCCGGTCGCTTGCCCTCCTTCTTCCATGTGATCAGATGTTGTAGGTCCTCATCCGCAAACTGTGCCTCAACAAGATCCGTCGGTGTCCAACCGTCGTCCGCTGATATTGTTGTTGCTCTTATGTCTTCCGATTGTATCTTCTCCTCGTGACGACAGCAATATTTGCATCCTGGTAAACATGGTCGACGTGAGAGAGCATCAGCATTACTATGAGTTGTTCCTTTGCGGTGCACGATCTCGAAGTCGTACATTTGTAAACGCTCCAACCATCGGGCCATCTGTCCTTCAAGATCCTTGAAGTTGAGGAGCCATCTTAACGCTGCATGATCAGTTCGGAGAAGAAATTTCTGTCCATTAAGGTACTTGTGGAAGTGTTTTGTTGCATTGACTATTGCTAGTAACTCCTTCCTGGTTACACAATAGTTTCGTTCGGACTTTGTGAATCCTCTGCTATAATACGCTAGCACCTTTTCTTCTCCGTCCATATGCTGTGACAAAACGGCTCCGATTCCGTTGTTACTTGCATCGGTATCTAACACAAACGTCTTGCCACGAACTGGATATGCTAGCAAAGGAGCATCACATAGTTCAACTTTTAACTTTTGAAATGCTGAGTCGCATAGGGTATTCCAGTTGAAAACTAGGTCCTTCTCGGTAAGTTGGTGGAGAGGTCTGGCAACTTTTGCAAAATCCTTTACAAAACGTCGATAGTACGTTGCCAATCCCAGAAAACTGCGCAATTCATTTTTATCCTTTGGAGTTGGCCAGTCTTACACAATTTCTATCTTGCTGGGATCGGTTCGAACTCCATCTGAAGATACCACATGTCCCAAATAGTTAACTTCTTTAGAAAATAATCTGCACTTTTTAACGTTCAGCTTTAAATTTGCCACCCGAAGTCTTGTGAAGATCTCCCGTAAGTTTTCGACGTTTTGATCAAATGTTCTTCCTAGAACAATTATGTCGTCTAAATAGACAAGACAGGTTTTCCAGTTAAGACCTTGCAATACACATTCCATCAGTCGCTCGAATGTAGCTGGAGCATTGCACAATCCAAATGGCATGACGGTGAATTGCCACAACCCCGATCCGATAGAAAACGCTGTCTTTTCGCGATCGTTCTTGTAGATTTCTACTTGCCAGTATCCGCTTTTCAAATTAAGCGTGAAGAACCAACTTGAGCCAGAGAGGGTGTCCATGATGTCATCAATCCTCGGTAACGGATAGCTGTCCTTTTTAGTCACATCATTTAACTTCCTATAATCAACGCAAAAACGGGTAGTGCCGTCCTTCTTCTTTACCAAAACAACTGACGAAATCCAGGGACTTGATGACGGTTCGATGACCCCTTGATTCTGCATTGTCGTTATCATTTCGTTTACTTCTGTTTGTTTTGCTAAAGGAAAACGTCGTGGTACTTGTCGGATCGGTTTCGAATCCTGAGTATCAATTCGGTGAGTTACCAGAGCGGTTTTACCTTGGTCATTGTCACCGGTTGAAAACACGTCTGCAAAATCGGCAATCAACGCCTCGGCTTTTAGAGGGTCTTCTTGATACAAATTAAGTTCATCCAGTAGATTTTTGGTAAGTTCTTTGAGTCTACCTTTGTCAGTTGGTAGAACCTTTTCCTGTTGCTCCATATCTAATGATTTCACCAAATTTATTGATTGGCAATTACCTATTTCCTCGCCTTTTTTTAATTTTAATAGTGTGTTTAGCGGTATTCATTATTCTGACAGGAATAAGACCATTTTTGTTTGCTTCTACCAGGCATTTTCCAATGACCGCGTTCTGTACATTTGTCGTTGAGGTTGGCTCCATCAAATAGAACTGGTGGCCCCCAGGATCGCAATTCAACTTGCCCCATACGATGTTTTCAAATGATTGAAGTAGTTAGTACAATCGACTGTCACTCGAATGCATTTTTCGTCGCTATCCCCCATTATCACTTCTGTATTTCTCCATCTAAGAATGCGTTTTTCTAAGTCAATTTTGAACCCATATTTTGTTAGAAAGTCGACACCTATTATGCGTTCGTCGATGATGTCCGCAACTAAGAATGAACCTTCGAATAACAAGTCGCCTAGCTGGACAGTACGGAGAATCTTTCCATAGACTAGTGCTGTTTCTCCGGTAGCTGTTCGAAGGATGTATTTGTTAGAAGTCACTTTCTTCAGATTGTGTACCAAATCAGATCTTAAAATCGAATTTGTTGCTCCGGTGTCGACTGTAATTACGCATTCTCGTTGATCAACTTTTCCGTTCAGACATAGGTCGTTTCGATTTCGATATAGTCTGGAAACGTTAATTATGGTACTGGGGGCGTCAATTCTACTAGCCAACCTCTGCCCCACAAAGTTGGCTCTTATTAGTTTTCCGCCCCTTCGTTAGAAAGGGCCGATCGTGATACAGGATCATCTTCTCTTCTTTTGCGCCATCTTGTCGCGCAATTTCGGCAGTAGTTATCTTTTAGGCGTTGTTTACAATCACGACGTAGATGGCCTTTTTCACCACAAATCCAGCATTGGGGTACACCATGCAGTTGGGGTTCGCGTTTCACAACCATCTTCTTGCAAGAGCATTCTTCATGTACTTGGCGTAGACGTACGTCACTTTTTGATGCTTGCTTTGCCGATTCAAAAGTGAGACTGCGCAACGGCATCCTTGAGTTTTCGTTTATCTGACAAGTGAAGGGATTGCTTGAGTTTCGAATCACGAAGGGCTTTGATAAACGTATCCAGGGCAGTTTCGTCTCTATGCTCGGGGTCTGATGTCGGATACGACAGCAATGTCAACCGTTCGATATCTTGTGCCAGCTGCTGAATGGATTCACCAGATCGTTGCGTTCTGTTTCTAAGCTGAGACCGATAAATCTGTTTCATGTGTTCTTCACCATAACGTAAGTCCAACGCGCTAACCAGAACTTCATAGTTGAAGTGGTTCTCCGCCGGAATCGTCTGAAGAACCTCTGCTGCTGAACCTCGCAGGGCCAGTATCAGTGCTGTCGCTCGTTCTTTTCCGTTCCAACAGTTACTAGTTGCCGCTGCTTTGAACTGGGTTTTATAAACGTTCCAGGACATCTCTCCGTCAAATGCTGGTACCTTCAAAGTTCTTCCGGATGCGTGATCTAAAGGCATGGTCATTTTTTTGGATTGCTCCAATTCTCGTTTCAATTTGTCTATCTTGTGATCTATCTCAACGGTCTGACGATCAAGTTTCTGCTCGATTATTTCTATTCTTGTTGACTGTTCTTCAATCTGTTCTGCCACTTCCAATTTTACGTGTTTTAGCTGGTCCTTGATCTGTTTCAACTCCTCTGTCTGTCGTTCGGACTGTTCCTTGATCTGTTCGGACTGTTACTTGATCTATTGTTTTAACTCTTCTGTTTGTCGTTCGGACTGTTGTTCTGACTGTTCTTTGATCTGTTTTAACTCTTCTGTCTGTCGTTCGGACTGTCGTTCGGACTGTTCTTTGATCTGTTTTAACTCTTCTGTCTGTCGTTCGGACTGTTGCTTTATTTCAGTTTGTTGCTCTGAGTAGTAAATCGCTGGTCGAAGATCCCACTTCTGACACCAATGTTATAATATTCTCGCTGTCGTAACCGATTTACGATGCGACGGGTTCAAATCTTCGATTGAATAAAATATTCCAAACAGTTATTAAACTTTATTTACAGAAGAAATCAACTATTATTAGTTATTAAACTTTATTTACAGAAAAAATCAACTAATCGTTTATTTCCAGTAAATTCGCACTAACGCAACAATTAACTTTTAAGTCTTTCAAAATCTATCGCTATGACAACGTCAACAAACAAATCAAATATCGCTTTAAATAATTCACCGAATCGCTATTCACAAAATCACGAATTTCACTAATTACGAATATCACTAATCACGAATATCACTAATCACGAATATCACTAATCACGAATATCACTAATCAAGAATCTTTTTGCGACGTGCGCTTATATTCTCTTCGCAAGCGTCGTTTCTAGATTCTTCAAGAATTCAAGATGGTCCGATTCTAGCATACTCTAGAATGCTCCAGTCACTAGAACATTCCAGAATACGCTAGAATCCAGTGCGTTCGGTATCACGGTTATAACATTATATATATATATATATATATATATTTTTTTTTATAACAGACTGTTGTTAAAGCAACATTTCAAAAATTCAACACTACTTTCAACATTGTTCAACTTTTTTATATTTCTTTTTAATTTATTAATTTCAGAGAAAATAGACATTTTATTGTTTTTAAAAAATTTTTATTAAATAAATTTGCAAATAGCTATTTCGAGTTATGGATAACTCATCTTCAGTGCATTATATATAAGGTATGTAAGATATTAGATAAGAAGGAACAAGTAATTATTTATTTATATAAATTATTTAATTAAAACAGAAAACCAATAAAATAAATTTAATAACTACAAACATTATAAATTGTATTATATTGTAATTATATTATTTGTAATTATATTGTTTATAGTTATTAAACCAAAAAAATAAATGCGTTTTCAGTTCCTTTTTTAAATCGTTTAAAGAATTTTTAGTTTTTCTTAGCAACTCCGGCAGAGCGATCCAAACCATCAGGCCAGCAACAGCAATGTCACACAAATGTCCTATTTGCAAACGATTAACTGGTATCATCAAAAAGTTCATATCGTCTGATCTCAATCTGAATTTAATGTGGGCGATTTCCTGACAAATCTATTGGACAAATATTTCGGAGCCAAGCCATTTAACGATTTGAAATCTATGACCGCTATTTTGAAGATTATCCTTTTGTTGATTGTCAACCAGTGGAGGTCATTCAAAATCAGCGTAACGTGATCGAACCTCAGCCCACCTGCCACTAGTTTAGCCGCACGATTCTGGATTGATTGTAGAACTGCTATTGACGTCTGGGGTAGCTTGTAAAATAAACTGTTGCAGTACTCGAGACAGGATGTTATGAGAGCGTGTACTAAAGTTTCCATATGACTCCTGTCTAAATAACGTCTGACTGTACAAGCCCCTGATATGAGCCATACTAGCAACTGATACGTTCTTTATGCGCTTTTTTATTGTGAGATTAAAATCCACCATGACTCCCAAATTGGATGCAGTCGTGCCAAACAATATATCAACGTTGTTTACTTTCACCAAGTGCATATCTAGCTTTGACATCTGCTGCCATGTGCCAATCGGGAGCAACTGGGTTTTGCACTGATTTAACTTGAGCGAATTGCTGGACATCCAGCAAACATCTGACAAACCTATCAATTTCTCTATGAAACACCATCATCTAGAAACAATCATCTGAACATTATCAGCGAACGCGTGGTAGGTGAATCCATGCGAATTAATCATCCTGGCTATGTCGAAGGTGTATAGCAAGAACAGAATGGGCTCTAATACTGAACCTTAAGGTACTCCGGACGAAACAAAATTTATTTCTGATGAAATGTCTCTAAACAAAACCTGCTGGGTACAATCTAGTAAGTAAAACTGAAGCCATGCATATTCAATATCACAAACACCAAAACTATAATATAACTTCTTTAAGAGAATATGGGGATTGACGCAATCAAATGCCAATGACAAATCGAGGAAAGCCGACAGCGAAACATTCTGGACATCTATTTCTGAGATTGGCTTGGAAAGAACATGTAATAGCGCCGTCTCTGTCGAATGAAATCGCCTGTAGCCTGACTGGTGAATTGGCAAGAGGCAGTTTTTTGTTAAATGACTCAGCAGACTCTCAGCGACAACTCGTTCGATAATCTTTGAGATAAATGAAAAATTCGAAATTGGTCTATAGTTAGAAATATCATTTTCATCCAAATTGTTTTTTTTCAAAATTGGTTGGATCACAGCATGCTTTAGATTAGCAGGAAATTGTCCTAAACCCAAGCACATATTAACAAAATTACTGAGGAAACTGATGAACAAATTGGTAGGTTTTTTAAAAATGCACGTTGGAATTGTATCAAGAACACTCGTTTTTGATGGCGAACCAAGTATAATCCTCTTGAGATCACCTCCGGGATTTTTGGAAATGATGAAAGACAATTGACCTTTGACCTATTAACATCAAGTGACGAATTATAATTAGCTTCTGTAGTTTGAGTAATTTTATTTATTTTGTCTGCAAAAAACCGCATGAATTGGGAAGCTGTTAGCTTTAAACCAACATCAAGTTTAAGTTTTTTCTTGTCTTTACACAGGATCTTGCTTGCCGCTAGCCAAAAATCTTTAGAGTTGTTGATGGGCTTGAATTGGTTTTTTTAAAATTGTGTACGCTTGTCAGAAAAAAGGGTATTTTTTTGCTTCAATGTAATTCTCCAGTTATTACGACTAGCAGTTGATGAGTATTTTCTAAAAAATTTTTCAAGTTTTCTGCATTGTCTTTTTGCTCTACGACAATCTGCATCAAACCATGGAGGAGCTGTAAGACTTCTACTGACGTGAATTTTACAAAGAGGAACTAATCTGTCGACTATACTTCTTAGTTCATTATCAAACAACATTAACTTGGCATTAACATCATTCCCCTGGCATGAACTTGCAACAGCTGAGTTTATAATACTTTTTGTAAACTGATCTTTGTCAAGATCTTTTCTAGACCAAGTTAATTTTTTAACCAAAGTACCACGCATTTGAGCAATTGTTATTTTTGCCTTTATACAACTAAGATCAGAAAATACTTCACTAGGATAAATTTTTATCTTAGGAACAACGAAATCACGAGAGCTAACGATCAGATCTAGTGTACCACCAAGAAAATGAGTTTTACCTTTTATATAGTTGACCAGATCAAAAATGTCGAATATTTCTAACAAGCATGTGTGCGAGGATCGTCAATTTTCTCCATATGCGAGCTCATCGTTGTAATGTGTTTCAAAACTGATATAAATTCATTAAAAAATGAAGCAGATATCTGTGCTGAGCCTGATTTGTATAAGGAAAGCATAATGAAAGTGTATCGTCCAATTGTTAGTTTCATGCGATGGCTTCAAAAGCAGCGAACAGTGCTAAAGTTATTTTTTTAGAACCAAAACTTGAGCGAAAATAAATAACTAATCCCCGTGACTAGGATCAAGTGGCCTTACAAAATCAACAAAGCATGGCCAAACCCACTGCAACATCACCAACCGACCCATGCCATGTTTCCGTTAATACCAAAACATCCAATCCTCTATGAATCAATTCGTAAACAGCGTCAACTTTCCGACCAAAGATAATTTAATAAACCGAAATCCACAAACCCTTTAGTATTACCATAATTAATTTTATATTTCAAGTTACTCTTGCTAACAACCAATGCACTAATGTTCGATCTAGCACCCAATCTACCACCCATTATAGCTATGTCTTTCTTGTTGTTATTTGCACCACACACCGCTTTCCCACTTTTCCCCGGACTTTAAAGGAAAAATCTCCCTTACCATCAGCATTCTTTTTCTGTGCCTCCTCGAGAACGATTTTTAATTTGATTCTCTGCTCTCTGGCAAGATCATGACTCAACCTTACCTGAGCAAGATCATCACCAATTGTCTTCAGTTTATATATATTTTTAAACAGTAAATCCTTGATCTTTAAATCATCAAACTTTATCAAGATCGGCCTGACCACAACATTTTCATTTTTCTTACTAATTCTTATTAATTTGATGACATTTTTGTCTGTAAAAACATTTGTCCTGTCAGCCTCACCCTCCTTCAGTCTGAATCTCATCACATTGTTTTCATGCTCCTTTTTTTCTGCCGTGTCACTCAATGTTTTCTGCAAACATTTAACTTCTGTATTATTACTTCAACATTTTTCTTCACCTTCACATTTATTACGTCGACGTTTTTCTTCACCTCACGGCCGACAACCTCTGACTATGAAGACTTTAATTCACTCCTGAAATTTTTCATTTCATCACGCAATTCAACTCTGGATTTTTTAACAGACACAATTTATTACCATCGGCGTTAATTTTCAGTTTGATACCGTTAATCTCAGACATGATATTTTCATTCATCTCTTGTAATTTTCCTATTTCATATCATAACGATACAGGTAAACTTGTTTTCACCAACGAACTAGAGACAAGTAAACCAAGTCAGAATTTAATTAAAAATTTCTATTTGAAATTAAATTTT